GTTAAATCGAGGTATATATAACACAAAGGATATTGATGGAGGCATCCCTTGCATTAGAAGAAGTTTGGGCTTTATGTCAATTTAGAGTAGGCTAAGTATATGCGATCAAGAAGGAGAGAAGAAAAAAAAGGATTAATTCAAAGAAGGATAACTTAGGTTCGGCTAAGTTGATGCCTTTTATAATTTAGAGAACAAGACAACCATTGAGAATAATATGTCTCAGGAGAGTAGAAGAAACATCAATGTTGCTTTAGCTCAAGTTCAAGAGTAGGTTTTTCTCACAAGAGACAAAGACTCAAGAGACAAAGGTGCTCTATAAAACATCTTTGTTCGACCATTGTTAATTTTTGACTCATAGGCATAAGCTATAACAAATACCGATGAATCTGTTAATTGAAAGGACAATATGCGGAAGACTTTTGGACCTACTAAAGTAGAACAAGTATGAAGATAACCGAGAAGTGTACTATCTCTTCAATGTTCATTACCAAAAAGATCATAACCCATGAAATCGGGAAGAGTTGGGAGACCGATCGTGTAAAGGACTGATTTTGTTTCAGAAGATGCAAGACACGTTGAACTAGAAAGACACTGCGCAGGATAGAACTGAAGGTCTCGGTACCAAGTTGGTATGTCAGATTATTATTCATAAAAAAAGTAACAAAGATATTAATTAAAAATTCTGAAATTAAAAAATTTAGAACAACAAATTCTATTAAGATTAATTGAGAAAGAGGCATGACATGGCATCGTTATTCCTTCAATGGATCCCAAGTCACTGTGTTCTCCATGGCAACGAAATGACTGATAAACTCACCAAGGAATGGTCCATATTGAACCAGCTAGAAAATCAAGAATCATATCATATTGACTAAAAAATATAAAAATTTCATCACTGATATTAAATGAAATTTTCTAATTAAATGTAACCTTTTTAGAAAATTAAATTAATGAATAATTTGATGAATTTTGCCTTTGCGATTTTGCCCAACAGTATCTAATTAGTGTGACAACTTTTGACCTGATAGACAATGCAAATCTCTTAATTCCTTTTTAGTAAACTTTAAAATATAAAATAACGGTATAATAACTAATATTCCTACAATTCATAATCAACGATTCGTACAATCCATAATCAACGGATCGTACAATCCATAATCAACTGGTTATAGAATAAATAGGACTTTTATTATTTTAATAGTATTTATGATTTCTTAGCTGTTTTTTAATTTTTTGTTACTGGAAGAATATGTTGAAAAAAAAAAAGAAAAGAAAGTTACATTAAGATTCCTTAAAGCGAACACTAAGTCAAAGTGTGGTCCTTAAGTAACTCGGAGTGGACTGTTCAATGATTCAGAGTTCCGTGCTTAACTTCTAGAACTAAACTTTTAAAGATAATAAATAATGTAGAAGGGAAAAATGTTTTGTTTTCTTGCTGCCCTTCTTCCCTTGTTATAAAATGTATTTTTAAAATGGAAAAATATAAACTGCTGGCCAAAAGTATAGCATCACTAAAGTTTTTATCACTATAATAATGATGGTGCCAATAATATTCTTATTCATTTACAGTTAGGTTAGCTTTGATGAAATGTTTAATTAAGTAAACAACAGCTGATATTTTTCTTATTCAATTATAGAAAAAAAAAATCTCCTGCACCCATCACACGGCTTTCACTTACTCTTACTCTTCTTAGCAGAAATAAGTATTTTCAGAAAAGGGGGAGTGAAAGTAAAAATTATAGACGCTAAAATTATTTACATTTCGTTGTGGATATCTTTATTTGTTTAAATACTCTTATATAGACAAATTTTATTTTTTATATCGCTGTATTCTATACAATTAAATATTAAATAATGCCAACGATAGTATATATGAAAACCGTATATGTTACGTATGGAAACCTGTTGTTATCTTCGAGCGAACTCAGGTGAGCTCGGGCGCGCTCGTATTACTTTGGTTCTTTTATTAAATTAAATTAAATTAAATTAAATTAAATTAAATTAATTAAATTAAATTGTTACCCGTTATTTCTCCTCCAATTAGTTATTAAATTTTTCATATTTAACTATTTTTTGTATCAAGGTTAATATGAAATGGTTAATTATTTCAAATATAAAAATTAAAGATATTTTAGAAGAACCTAATATTAGAATTTAGCCATTTAAGCTCTGTTAGAGAGAATCAATGAGAATAAAACCTACATTATATTAAAAAGTGCTTGATAATACACTGATATACTGAGTTTAATCCGAATCGTTATAGCCGTTTTTGAGAAAATCGTAAAAATGTGTTAAATTGATTATATAAAGTATCACTCCCGGTTTGCCGATTTTGGCAAAAATGTTGCTATAACATCTAAAGATTATAAAAACTTTCGGTAATATATTTCAAATATATATTTCGGTTTCGTATGATTTTTCTTTTTTGATCTAGCCTATTTACACACACACAGACTATTTTACAGGACTTTGTTATTTGGACTCAGGGGACATAAAAATGTGTATTTCCGTTGAAAACTCAGATTATAAATGTTAACGATCGGAATATTTACCCTTAGTATATATTACATATATAGGTAAGTGAAAGTAATACGTTTTTTAGAGCACTTTAATTAAAGGTTGATTGATTTTTCTTCACTTTCTTCTTCAATACTTGTTTCATGATAAATAGACGAAACTACTGCAAGCAAGATCTAACGGAGGAGATGATGATTCGTCTGATTAACCAATGAATTAATGAAAAAGCAACATTATCTCATCCTTGGTAAAAGCCAGTCGACCACACAAAGAGACTCACGGGTGGATCTACGAGGGGGGGGGGGCTTTTGGGTAGACCCTCCCCCCCAAATTGGTAAAATAGAACCATGTTTTATGGAAAAACAATTTTTTTTGTCCTCCCCTTCCATGCCTTTTAGGCTATCGAGGGAACCTTTTAGGATACGAGGTTTAACCGGGGCATGTAGGTGAGGGGAAGGACTAATGACAGAGTCAAAAGCCTCACCCCTCACCCTTTTCCTCCGCAGCACAAAGACGCGAACTCGTAATTATTTTTTTCAAATTATATTTCATAAGTTTGCCTGTCAACACTGTGCACACGCACTAGGGATCACCCCGTCTCCATACACCACTTCTCTCTGGAACAAACAATGCTCTAGGATTTCAATGTGCTCTGTACACATTGATTGGACAAAGGAATAAGAAGACTGGTCACGTATTTTGGTCCCAGATGAGTCAAGATTCATTTTAAACTCATCTGATGGAAGGAAGGGTGGAGTATATACATCGTCGAGATTAAAAAGAGGATCACGACAAGAGGTTCATCGAAATAAGGGCGGAGTAGTTGTTGATTAGATCATGATGAATCTATATTAAAAAAAAAAAGGAAGAAGAAGAAAATCGTGTGAAGGAATTTATTATGCAATAAAACTGTAACCACAAACTGCTGGCTTTCATATCAGAGGGGACGAGACGAATTGGAGGAAAACCTGAGGTAGCTCAATGATTCCAAACTCTATAATATCATACTAAGTAGTTATTTGTATCATAATTTATGAATATTTTTACATGAAACAAAATACATACATAAAACAATAATTTTTAAAAATTAATTTTTCTTGGGTTTTGGCGAACGTTTTGTATTATATCATGTTTTATTTTATTTCAAATTATTTATAAGACAACAGCCTCCATGATCACAAATACGCTTATGAAACTTTTTAATATTATCAACGACAGTTCAATAATACTAAACCGAATGATTTTCCAACTATGAGAGGAGTAGATTATAACAGATACAAAGTACGCATACAGCGTGCATAGCCCTTTTACCTTATAACCTTGGGCAATAAAAGGAAATTAGAAATTTTTGTATATATATTTCTATATGTATTTATATATTGTATTTTGTATAGTAAATAAAAATGTAGAAAAAAAATGTAGATTACTATTAACTCTTATGTAATTTATGAGGAATTCGATCGTTGAACCAATAGCATAGCACCAATCTAGAGCTATCGGCTAAGGATGGGAGTGACTTCAAAAGATTCGGTCGCTGTTAAGGCTGATTTTAATTTCGACAGCTTTTGAATAAGGAGAACTCAATTTCCTTTCCGCTCTCCAAAGTGATCCAAATCCCTAATGAGATCTTTTTACTTTGAGAATTAATCCAGTTCCCAAAGTCATTACAGAGAGCTTAACTATGGTGGCTCATCGATCCTCGATGTGGTGAGGTCTTTAACAGCCTATCAAATTTATTCGAGTTTATGTACATATTATATATATACATAGTCTCGACGTTCGACATTCGGCGCCCCCTGGAAATGACGTCATCTCTCCCCCTCATAAACTTAAATTTATTTCATAAAAATAAAAAAAAAGACCTGTACCACTAACAACCCATGAAGGGCCTTGGGTTCAGTTAAGTAGAATTACTAAATACGCTCAAGCGCCAGATTTTCCTCCTTGATTATTTAATTAAGAGTACGCACTTTAAAAAAGACTGGGTTGGCTCTGGAGGGTCTCCCCTTCCCAGGGTTGACCCACGGCGGATGAAAAATTACAAGTCATCAGCCGGATTCGAACCTGCGATCTTGAGCTTCGGAAGTCAGTACTCACCCACTGAGTTACCCCACTCCCTTTATTTCTTAAGCTTTTTTAAATTATTTATTATTTGAATTTTATTTCATCCAACATTTATCTAAAACAGTTGCTTTATTGATAGGCTAAAATTGATTATTTTAATACGTTTTGTATTTTTTTTTCTCACAAGAGTCGAGTAATTTGTTTTGTTTTTTCTATTCTCCTTCTTCTTCTGCGTTCTTCCTTATATGACTAGGTCAGGAACTAAAATGAAGAATTCGGTAGTCCTCTTCAGGTCATCCAGGCTTCCATATATTTTCCTTTTCCAATTCAGTCGGAGAGGGCCAGATCACCTTCCTTTGCTGGGAGTAGGCCTTGCACCTTTGTAGGATATGTTCCACATTCTGTACCCCCTCATCGCACTAGCAGAGGGGAGTAGAGCCAATTTTGAACTTACTGAATAGGTGAGCTTTGAGCCTGTTGTGTCCAGTTTGTAAGCGAAAGATCAAGACCTGATCTCGTCGAGTTATTCCATTGATCGCATCACAGGGGTCGTGAAGTGGATGATTTCTAAGCCAACGTTGGTTAATTATCGCTTTATTGATTGCTTTTATCTCGTCTAGGCTATTTTTTTTTTCTATTTCTTACAAGTTCGCACAGCGCCCCTGGCGGGCTCCCCTCCAGTTCGGTGCCCGGGCCATAATATCATCTGTCCGCCTTCACATCCCTAAGGCAACTTAAGATTCATAGAATAAACACATTTTCAAATCAAGGAAGAAGATTACATTCCCTCGTGCCTGACATGTCGCAATAATTCTTTATTGATACAGGACATTTCTTGATATGAAATTATTTGCTTATTTAGGAGGAGTCGTTGTTGATCAAGAAAAAAATATTAGTAACAAATACACCTTAACCTTCCAATCTATTTTTTCTAACTAAACATGCCCGCTTTGCAATAATAAGTTTTCAAATGTGTCACATCGTCAAAACTATATCAAATAAAATAGCACAGAAAAAAAGCATATTGTTTTATCTATTTAATATATTGCAACAACATCGTTTACACAAAATTAATCACAAAAATTACATTTCGTTTCACTTATATACGTCACTCTCAAAGACCAAAATCAATAGATATTCATAAATTTGTTATAGAAATTATCGGAAGTATGTCTGATATTGTTGCTGCTATAAAAGTTGATGATATGACAAAAGTTATGTTAAATGTTTTATTCTGTGAGCTCAACGACCTCTGTTAACTCTTTTTTGATTCTTTTATTTATAGGTTACTCATGACTTTTGTAAAAAAAAAACAACGATTATAAAAAATCCTTGAATTTTGGTTTATTATTTTCAATAATCAACCATTGTGATCGACCAAAAAATTCAAAAACTTTACCCCCTCTCTAAATATGAGGTTTCACGTTTCAGGATGCGTAGAACTTACTTCAACGAAATGAAGCTGGAAAAAAAGTTACGAGGGATGGTAAAATTTAATTACGAATAACTCAAAAAGTATACACTTTTTTGGCGATATTGTATATGGTTTTTTTTTAAATTCACGGGATTTCCTAAAAAAAAAATTTAAAAAAATTGTTAAAATTGAACAATTAGGTGCAATGACAAGATCTCCAGTTTTTTTTTTTATATGTTCTACTCCAAATGTTATATCCTTTCTTTGGTTTTTAAATTTTGAATGTGTTACTGGAGTAATGCTATTTTTTTAGCATATTACTTAAGATAAAAAAAAAAAGTTTAGTTCAATAATTGGAATCACCTTTTATTTATTTTTCTTTGTAACTAGGAAGGTAATGTTACTCTAGATGTATAGTTGTTTGGAAATAATAAACCATAGTGAAATAATTTGCAGCGTTTTTATATTTAAAAAATGTTTTAATTTTTACACTCTTAAAACAGTATTTGTAACATTAAGACCCGCTGGGCTTGGCGATTCTCGACTATTGCGGGTATCAGTGAGAAATGGTGATATTTATAGGCCAATAACTTAATGGAGACACAGAGCTTAGACTAGAAGATAACGTCCAAACTTTCTTAAATATGCCATCTTTAACTCTTTTTTTTTGAACCTTTTCATTTGTTAAACATTATTTAATTCTAAAAACTATGTTGTAAGTTGTTTATTTTATCATTAACAAAGGGTCATTTAAGTTATTTACCTATAGACTAACTCCACACGAGTTTGTGAATGATAAAACAATCGTCTAAAACCGTAAAAGTTCAACTTATTTGGGTTTTTCATTGCAACATAATGTGCATAATAGTATTTTATTTATAAACATAAGTAATACCGGCGTCAAAATCTATAAAAGTTGATCCATTTTTTGTTTCATTTATTAGATACATATTATTTTTTTTTCTTAATTAATGTTTTCATAATTTAAAAATACATTACTTTTTATTCTTCTTAGGGAACGAAACAGTGCACTTGGATGAACCAAAGTTGGAGCGACTGGATCTACCAAGTTCCTGCAATTTTAGTTCTTGCTATCAACTTACTGTTTCTAGTTCGCATCATGTGGGCAAGTACATTATTATTTTTCTAAATTATTTGTAGTATTCATTATTTTCTATTTTATAACTATTATGAAGTGTGATGTGTTTAATGTATATATGTATATATATTTATATATGCTGCTTTTAAGTCGCATAGACTGACTGCTATGGTAATTAGCGACGATCTTTCTTCTGAAATATAACTTATTAATTTTATTTGTGATAAGAAGAAGTGTTAGGCGAGTACCAATGTGGATTTCACTCTGGAAGGTCTACAATAGACAACATCTTCTCTATCGACGTCGATCAACACCATATTTTACTACAAGTCAGCCTATGACTGTATAGAGAGAAATGAAATTTATAAAAGATTAAATGTTTTGAAATGCCCGCTGAAGCTTATCACACATGTTAAGATCAGAAGACCCTGCAGGATAGCAAAGATGTGGTGAAAATTCATGCTGAGCATTCAAAAGATTTTGACATCTAGAAGGGTATGAAACAGATAGATTCTCTTTCCCCAGTACTGTTCAATTTAGTATTAGAAGTAGTCATGAGATGGTCAGAACAAGTTGAGGAGGATGTATATATGACAGAATGACTACACCTATCATTTGCGTATGATGTAGTCATTACAGGAAGGACATTCAATGCACTATAGTACTCGCTTCGGCGATACATATACTAAAATTGGAACGATACAGAGAAGATTAGCATGGCCCCTGCGCAAGGATGAGAAAATATTTATATGACGTTCTGAGCTCATTCCTCAACGGCAGAACATTTACAGTTAGAATAAATAATATAAATTCAACCTTAAGACAAATCCATGCCGGCACCCCACAAGGTTCTGTTCTTTCTCTCATACTTTTTAACTTTTATGTTCACGACATTATCCAATCCACAAACACCTCCATAGCTATGTTTGCCGACGATACAGCTGTCTTCTCCCAACACAATGATATATTAATAGCCAGAAATACACTGCAGTCTTACCTAGTAAATCTAGAACAATATTTAAAAAAATGGATGATTTGTCTCAACACCGAAAAATGTACAGCAAAAATTTTTACTCTTAGACGTCCCTCAGACCCACCTGAACTGATTCTCAAAAATAAAGAACTAAAATGGAACCCAGCTAGTGAAGCAGTAAAATACCTCGGAGTTTATCTGGACCGCCGCCTTACGTGGAATTACCATATAAATAATAAACTGACCCAAACATAAGCAAGGTTAGCAATGTTATATCCCATAGTAAATAAAAAATCTAGTTTAAAACCAGAGACAACTGTTCTTATTCATAAAACCATACTAAGACCCTTGCTAATGTACGGATGTGAAGTCTGGGGAGCCGCTTCAGCTACGAAAAGAAAAAAACTACAATCCTTTCAAAACAAGGTATTAAGAATTGCAGTAGATGCCCCCTGGTTCATAAGAAACGCTCAACTACATCGAGAACTAAAATTGGAAACAATAGATGAATTCATCAAAAAAAGATTTAAAAAATTCCATACGCAGCTACCAGCAGTTAAAGGTGCAGTGGCCTACAACTTAGGAAACCCAACCTCATCTCGAAGACTGAAGCCCAGACTGATCCAAGACATCATGTTATGAACAATTAATAATTTTCTCTTTATTAATTGTAATTATTCAATAATTATAATATATAAATAGTTAGGGGTGTCTTTTGCAAAGACTATACCCCACCAGAACAATTGTTAAAAATCATCAAATTGTTACAACAACCATGTAAGGCCCACCAGGCCGATCTGGTAATAAATAAATTTAAATAAATGCACTATAAGGAGCCTTCTAAGAGTCTGAAGAAGTTGAAAAAAAAAAACAGTACTTGTCATAGATACAGAACAAAGACAAAACTAAATATATGTTAACAACAAAGGAGATGAAAGGTACTGGTTATTTCGAGGGAGTTGGAAACGTTTCGAAAAAGTACCATAATTTAGGTATCTAAGCACTGTTATCACTGAGAATAACAATATAAGAGAAAAAATAAGTGTTATTGGTCCCTAAAAAAAATCATTCGAAATCGTGGTTTACCAAAAGTTCTAAAAATAAGAATATATAAGAGTGTCCTGCAACCAGTTATAAATGAAAGCGAGCGCTGCACACTCACACTCAACGAAAAGGGGTTATCGAACAGGGGGGAAAGAAAAATCCTTCGTAGAATTTATGGTCCAACCAAAGAAGGAAATCTTTTCCGATGAAGACGAATGACGAGCTGAAGAAGCTATATAATGCCCCAGACAATATATCCTCCATAAAAGGGGGAAGGATAAGATCGTTGGTCCATGTGCAAAGAACGCAACATGACAGGCTTTCTAAAATGATGATGGAGGAACATCCGGGTGGAAGAAGAAACAGGAACAGGCCTGGAAAAGTTGGCTGAAAGATATCGAAAACGATCTAAGAAGCCCGAGTGTAGGGAGATCGGGAGGGGCAGCAGAAGACAAATTGGTTCTGGAGGAAGATAGTAGAGGAGGTCAAGGTTCTACAAGGACTATAGCGCCATCGGGTGATGATAAATTTTATTTGTTTAATGCACTTTAGTGTTTTTCAATTTCATTGTTTTCTTTGTACTGTGCTTTGTCTTCAATTATGAGTCCTAGTCATTGTTTACTGAATTTTGTGCTCTGAAAAAAATATTGTAGGGTCAGATTAGCATTTTCACATGAATGACATGTGACATGGTCGATGTAGACCAAGAATTATGTGGAGATGGGTCAGTTTGATGTGTCCAATCCTCAGTCTGCTTATTGCGGAACATTATTTTTATGTTAGATAATAAGGAGAATGTGAAGCTCGATTTTCTTCTTTGATCAGGCGAAGATGATTGAGTGGCAGTCAAAAATTGTGTGACTGAAATTTCACTTGTTTATTCGTTGAGAAATTTCGATCCTAAAAAAGGCGAACCAGTGTTTCTGGCGGCTTCTTTGATCCTACATCGGCTCGTTCATGGCCAGTTAATTGGAAGGGGATCCATAATAATGTTTTTTCTTGACTATTTTTAAATAGTTTAAAGTTCATGAGTTGAATTTTTGTTATGCAATGTGTTATAGGTTCAATTATTTTGCATTTCTTTGATCACAAAAACAGAATCGGTCACAATAACTGATTTTATGATATTGTTGTTGATTACATATTCGAATGCCTTCAGAACTGCCCA